TATAGTGATTGTATTTGTGACGATCAATTATTTTCTAGTAACCATTAATATTTAATGCTGACTACCTACTACTTTAAGCCGGATAAGTATAACGGGGTGCTTCCGTACATAAGATTCTGCTTACGTTAAGTATAAAGTACGAAAATGCTGTTATAACAAATAGAAGGTTCTTACAATATTGGCTAAAAAGTAATAGTGTGCTGCAGAAGTAGTTCTCTGTTTACTAGTTGACGTAGATAACGGTATCAACCAAAAAAGCCGAGCCACGACAGAAGAATGCAATGAGTGTTGAGCAGGTGCTTACAATACACGTTTGCACAAGACATAATTAATTGATGACAAAATAGAATTTTTTGATAGAATATTGACTATACTATATACAGTTCTATTTTTACCCTTCTCTCGTGTTAAGCCCTTCCTCTGCACGACGCATGTACGTGATGTCACCACCTTAGTTTGTGTTTAGTATAAGTAGCTTATATTGTGATAGTGCAAGTGGTCGGTGCCCCGTTACACCTGGTAGCACCTTATACTCCGATCAACGACTCTGAACTTATTAGGCGATGAAGCGGAAGACTTCCATCCATCGCACGATAGCTACTTTTATGATAATAAAATCTAATGGAATGTCGTCGAATGCTTGATTTTGACGATAAGGCGAGAATCTGTAGGCGCATTGCTGTCCGCTCTGGGTCAAGAAAGGCGATACGCCATCATCGCCAAGTTTATTCAGAATGGGCTTGATAATGAAAAGTTATAGGTAACCTTGCTTCACCAACAAGTATATCAACATACAGAGCTGATGAGGGAACAGAGTGCGCAACATTTTGAGTTGTTGAGACAGCAGCAAGCTGCTGCCACCGCGTGGACACAGCATGTAGAACCGAATTGCTAAAGATTGACATCTTCAAATGCAAAGCAGATGAAGAAGATTCTACTGCTGAGATGGTTTGTTGATCTAGATGAATCTATAAGGGCTTGTTACATTTTCAATGAGCAAATGCAAACTGCATTTGCTCAGTCAAACTTGGTAGGTTGTGCGACGACTTGGAAATTGGTCCTCGAGTTACACGACCCATTTTCCGAGAGTCGTAAAAAAAATTAAGTCCCTTCTTAGGCAAAAATTCAAACTACCGCGATCTGAGTTCAGGGCTCGCTATGAACTTTTGAAATTTAAACAAGAAAAAAGTGATGTACGCTACTGCATTAAATACACACATCACCTTGTGAGTTGCATCACGTCCAATCCGGTGCTTGAACAAACGTTGATCACGTGGGGTCCCACGGACGGTCCATTCAGAGCATATCTCTTCCTATGGAATTTCATACCCTGGAATAGGCAACCCAAGTTGCGGAACAAGAAGAAGCAATCCACCTGAGATCAAACACCTATCGTCACTAAATCGATAATAAAGCAAAGGACTAGAACAAATGGACCTCTGTTACGCTTAGAGTAAAAGCTCTTGCGCTACTGATTATAAGAAATTGCAGACAAGCTTTAGATATCTAAAGGGAAACGTTAATTACCCTCAGGTTTTCGTTAACCCCCCCACCCCCTGTATATTACCGTCATTTACTCGATGGACGCGTTCCGATTGGTAGAAATGAATAAATCACCGGTTTAAGAAATAATTTACAATTTCATTTGCAAATGATAAAATAATAAATCAAGATAATTGATGCATGTCTATGAGTCGGCGACGTGTGATAATTTAAATGTCAGATACTGCGATTATCCTGGATGGACACTGTAACAAAGGCATTCATTAATGCTAAATTCGAAATTGACTTTAAGCCAGCTGCAGAGGTCTATCACGAGGTATGTGTGTAGTCGTAATACGTGTATGATCGACTAACTAGACTAACGAGTAATTTGATGATGTTGGTGGCTTAACCTCCTCCCATCGGCATGCACATCGCGGCTGCTCACTATCCCACGCATTTTCGACTGACTCTTTATCAAACAGCGCGTCCTGCTCCAGATCAAAAAGATTCGAGTCAAAAGACGAAAAGGGCGAGATGCCAAATAATGACCGGGCTCGTGTGGTGAGGGTGAAGCGTATCGATCAAGGTACTACTGTGGCGGCAGCTTCCGAGATGCTCGCTGATAGCCAAGTTGCTGTTAGTGATGGCTAGCGCGTTCGCTCTAGCGCTAGCTCTGTGGAGAAGAGGGACGTTAATAGCCCTTTTGCGCTTGATCGTTCTCGTTTCTGGTACTTCGTTAACAGCAATTGGCTTGTATTTATTTCCCTGTGAACACCATAGAATAATACGTTTAATTGCGCCATCTTTCCTATTGCCCACCTTCTTGGTACGCTTGATCGTAAGGACATAGCCTTGAGCTCTAGCATGTTCATTGAGTGCCTTTCGGGATTCCTCTAGCGTATCGTATATAATTTCAGGAGGTGGTAGCAGAGCCATATGAGAATGACAGACTACGGTGTTTAAGCGCTGAAAGAAATTATTCAACAATTAAAAAATAGCATGTAAGGGATTACATGATGCAATTATTGTGTTGGAATTGGCTTTCAGTATTTAGCAATATGACATTTTATTTATAATCAATCAAAAATATGGAAGGTATATATATTACGGTAATGTATAGGGGGTGGGGGTGGTTAACGATAACCTGGGGGGTAATAACGTTTCCCTATCTAAAACAGGGCATTATGCATGCGAAGTCATTTCCCGAACGCGCTATCACGTACCGCAGAAAGCAGTACCCGTTAAGCGGCCAAGGAGAGTCAGAGGCGTGGGTCTGACGCTGTATTAAAATACAACATCGTAACGGATAGTCAAAAAGCGGTCAGGATCGGTAGGTGCAGAGCATGATACTGATATAGCAACGTCAAGTGAATTTGCAAACCTCTTAACGAAAATTGCTCTAAAACGCAATCATTGTGTGTTGCTACATATGGTAATGAGAGTAGACTAGTTACCTTGAAGCTCGAAGTGGCAAAGGACAAGTCACTACGATGCGTCCTAGTCGATTGTGGGGCGTCAAACAACTTTGTGCGACGCTAGTTTCTTTTTAAGCGCGACCCCTCCAACGAAGATGATGGTACGCTTGGTGACAGGTGCATCCGTAATAGTGATGAAACGCATAGTGCGGGTTACCTATACACTAAAAGACGTCCTTAGTGACGATGACTTCATTGTCTTGGACTTGTATGACAAATTTGATGTCGCTCTTGGTTTACCGTGGCTCAGAAGGTACAAGACACAAGTCAGCTGGCATCGACGAAGCGTCGATTTTCCCGTTTCTTGTTCACCAGAATTCCACCTGATTAACGTCTTAAAACACCCATCACCATGTGATTGTACTACGAGTGAGTGCGATGGACTCACGTTTGGTTCGTTCTTTTTTAAGACTGCACAAGATCACAAATTTGACTAACTATCACATTGTGGAGAAAGTTTTTGGCGACTCCATGACAACGCAGGAAGCGGCAAGGCCCACCTCTCGATTAAGTCGTGCGGATCGGGACATGGTTGCCTCCTTTATGAACGACACCCAGACCATGACCAACCTATTGCCAATGGTGGTCAATGCAGAGTTGAATAACCCGAGAGGCAAGATTTAAGGGAATCAGTCTTCAGAAAATAGTGTAAATAAGTTCATATGCGATGATCGAGACGCTGGATGTCCTGGTAAATGACGGATCAAGCATAGAAAGCCACATACTTTATCTGATATAGTATCCGAAATTAACTTCAGATATTACTTAGTTACCCCCGCTGAGCCAGAAGACGTTTTTGCGTGATCTGCATAATGGCAAAGTCAAGCAGATATGCGTACTCGTCACGAAGGGTGAGTGAGTGAACCACTGAGAACTTGTTCGTCTTCGGTAAATACGATCGGCAATGGTATTCGACGAAGACGAACAAGTTATCAGTGGCTCATCAATGGACGTTAGTGTCCTTGGTGATAAGACTCGAATTGAGCGATATACATCCCAATCGTGTGAATCGCTCGGAACAAGTCCTTTCTACAATGATTTGATAATATTTAGTGATGTATTTTTAAGTAGTCACGTGCGAGTTTTCTGAGGAAATAGATAATCGTCACGAAATTGACCTGAGATAGGAAGCGAAGTACTGTGTCATGAAGCTATGGCCACTGTCTCGTGAACAAGTGCAAGAGATTGACAAGCTATTCTCGTATTGGTAAGCATCCAGTCATGTGAGTAAGCGCATCTCATTACATAGATTTCCGACTTTCTGTGTGCGAAAGGCCACAGGGGGGTGGAGGATAGTGCACGCCTTTAGCAAATTGAACGCTGCCCCCGTACCGTCTCAAACACTGATTACAAGGAAAGATATCGTCATACATTGTATGGCTAAGAGTACCATATTTTCATCCATGTATCTGATGGATGGAATCCATTAGGCCCTAATGCGCGAAAGAGACATTTCCTGTACTACAGTGAGCAAACAAGCGGTTTACTTTGGAAGTCGTTAGTAATGCCACAAGGTATAAGTATCCCCCCTGCCGAAACATACGTGTAACGAGTCCAGTAAGATCCGTAACAGAGTTTGCGCATAGATCCTTCGATGATGTGTTCCTCCATATCCGTGCTATGTATGAACAGATGGGTGTAAAAGTGCACCGACTTCACATCCGGAAAGCTGTTACACCAATGCGAGAACTTAATTTTATGTCAACATCAAGAAGTGTATATATGCTGCTATTTCATGCGCTTTGTCTGTGCATCGTGGGCAAGCATGGTGTTTGGTCCGATCCAGAAAAGATCAAGGCTATTACAGTCTTCCCTCTGCTAAGTTATCCCCGGCTACAGAATAACCTCCGGTAAGTTATAGGATTCGGTCTCCACCGACCTCGTTCTATGGTGACTACGGAATAAGTTATACGGAATAGCCTGAGGGCCAAATACAACTTATCAGAGGGAATATTTTTGTCCGCCGTGAGCAGAAATATTGTACGCAGAACCTTTTTTTTGTTATTCACTGCACGAAAGGAGTGGAAAGAGGAGAGGGAACTACTTCAGCCAGGAATCAAGTGTGGTGGCCTGAGTGGTGCTCGCACTACGGAGATCAGCTTGGACTTGGCGAAGGGTCCGGTGAGCTATACGATGGGACTCTTGAGAAAGGTCGAGAAGGGCGATGGATAGACTAAGGCTGGCAAGCTTTTCAGCCTTCGAATGCTTTTCCACCTCCTCCTCCGCCTCAGCAGCACCTTCCTCCTCCCCATACGGATCCTCAACAAGCTTGATGATTTCGGCATCGGTCAGATCCGCATGCGCCGTCTCCTCCTCCTCAGCTGGATTGAGAAGAGAAGCGATCGACATGGGATTGCGGAGCGGGAGCCTTTCCAGCGCCGAAACAAGATCCTGTTCCACGCGCTGCTCCTCTACTGCAGCAGCTGCTGCCTCCTGCTGGGCCTGCTGGCCAACAGTGCCGGCTTCGTTTTCACCCCCACCAGTCGGCAGAGCCGGACCGTCCATGAGTCCCGTACGACGGAAGCAGTTGGCGATTGTGGCACTGGAAATCTCGCTCCACGCAGCCAGCGACCAACGCGTGGCCGTGAGCTGATCAACCTTGTAAAGGTTGGTTTCTCCGCGCTCGTCACGGTCCAAGGCATTCTGCAGATGCAGCCGGCGGTAGTGCCTCTTGAATGCGGCAATAATCCCAGCATCCATGGGTTGGACCTTTTAAGTCGTATTAGGAGGAAGAACCTGGACCGTGATGTTGGTGAGTTCCAGGTCAGCAACAATGTGTGAAGGAGCGTTGTCCATGAGAAGCAGGATTTTTCTATCCTTTTGCTGTGGTCAACGCGTTAGTCAAACCTCCTTAACTGTACCACGACGATGATGTTCAAGGCATGCCCCAAATTACCTTCATACTTTTGTCGACGTCTCCCAGCCATTCCTGGAAGAGTATGCCAGTCATCCAGGCTTTCTTGTTGTTGCGGTAGAGAAAGCCCAGTCGCTCAGCTGTCTTGTGCTCAAAACACCGCGGCTTTTTGGCGTGTCCAATGAAGAACGGCGGGAGTTTGTCGGATCCATCAGCGTTTGCCGTGAGAGCAACTGTGATGCGCGTCTAGAATAGTTGTTAGTGTCAGAGAAACGCAGGAAACCAAGAGAAGAGCAATAATGTACCTTGTCTTTTTAAACCCTTCGACCTCTTGCTGGGCGATCGTTTTGTCGGGCGTCATACTGTAGAACAAACCTGAACAGAAAGTGAGCCTTTGAGATGCTTCTGTACTGTACAATGAGTACAGTACTGTACTGTGTTCTTAGACCTACCAGTTTCGTCCATGTTGTACACGTCACGTGGCGCATAACCAGCAACCACGGCCTTGAGGTGTGGAAGAGCCTCCTCTAGATCGCCCATATCTGCTGAGCCACTCTCGCCATGAATGCGGACAGCTCGCAGTTTGTGGCGTTGCTGGAATTTGTGGAGCCACCCATGCGAAAAGCTGATGTTTTCCTCCGAGACGCCCATTGATCCCGCAAAGGTCTGAGCCTTGGCCCGTATGAGATCTCCAGTGAGAGCGACCCCACGGTGCTGGCACTGCAAGACCCAGAAGGCGACGGCCTCCTCCACAGCTGGGTGCTGGACAGTCCGAGGACGCTTAGCGCTGAGGTCAGTGGTGTCCATTGCCTCAAGCTCCTTCCTTTTTTTTAAGATTTTGCTGATCGCTGCCTGGGAAAGTGCCTTCTGGAGGTCAAAGGCGTCCTTTGTCCAAGCCGCCAGGGCAGTCTGGGTGATGCGCGGGTTAGCATCCTGGTGCTTGCAGATGCGCAGCTTCTGCTCGTTGATAAGACGTATCTGCGACATCTGTTGTGAGTGAGCAAGGTACAGTTGGTGGAACTTCTTAATTAGAGATAGAAAAATCACCAGAGACTGGTGGGGCAACCAAAATCACAAAATCTTCATAGGGAACGTGACACGTGACAGACAGGTTTTGGAAGCCTGGAGGTTTGTTGCGTTATTGATTCTTTAATTAGTTAAATTAATAATTTTTCCGCAGCATACCTCTGCTATAAAATAACCTCTGCTAGGTTATAGGATTTGCCTTCCACCAAGTCTATAACTTAACAGAGGGAAGACTGTACCTACTTGTCGGTGCCAACCGACATTAAATTACTTTAGATGTTAATTGCCCTAGAGTCGTATTTGCATAGATTTCGTGCAATTATGCCGCGATGAATGTTCAAATCTCTCGTTTATTAAGGAGATCGAGAAAAGTGAATGGAGTGTTATCTGTAAGCACTCTTTTAAGTTATTAACTAAACTTGATACAATTGCCGGTTGTAACGATTGCAGACCAAGATAGGCCATTCCACGTGATCGGCGATGACGTCTACTTTGCAATCGGCTGTGTAGCAATGCAGTACGACACAGACGTATCGAAACGCGTCACTTGCTATCAGTCACTTCAGCTGTAAGCTGAGCGTAACTACCGCGTTCATGCTAAGCAAGTCCTTGCAATGAAGTGCGCGCTGGATAATTTCAAAGTTTAAAGTCTAGGCTATAGACTCTTTATCATTTATAGGGACCATGCATCTTTACTCATGGCCATAAATACCACACATCTCTTAAAAAAGATGGCGAGGTGACTGCCATTTATATCGGATTAAAATGTCTCCGTTTAGTACAATCACGAGGACTACTTAATGTTATCGCTAAATCACTCTTGCGTCGGCCCTGTATCGAGCCTGCTGCACCTGTCCTAACACTGTCGCTTGTCCTAACACTGTCGCGGTACTGACTGAGAGTGTCTCGTTGTCAGCATTATCGCGAGACATACGAAAGGCGTTCGATACGGAAATGGTGCGTTTGATGCATCATCTCTTGCACCCATCCGATAAAGCCTAAAGCAGTTGTAGTTAGTATAGCGATCTCTAAGGATAGACATTCAGATCGCAACGGCTTACTCCAACATTCAGCTATAGACGTTGACACAACTCGTGTTGTTGTACCAAATTATAGTAGCCTGTGGCTGCGTATAATATCTATTATCACCTAAACGCACCTGTTGGTGAAAATCGTGGTCGTGCGATTACATATCTCACAGTGATCTGCGACTTTTACTGGCCCCTCCAGTGTCAGTTAGTGTGCAAGTACGTTCGTCCCTGTGGGATATGTCAAAGGGTGAAATCCAATATTTCCTCTAAAAACCAGTTGCGACCTCTGCCCCTCCCTTCCGAGTGCTGGTAATTCGTCTCAGTGGAATTGTCTTTGGATTCCCCGCAGACTATCACGAGAATGCTTGTATTCTTGTATTCGTTGATAGTTTCAGTAAGCTGGTACAACTGGTCTTCCACCCTAATCAATAAATGCATCGGCCAGTACCCGTGTCTGTATCGACACGGTCTTTCGCCTCTAAGGGTTGCCTCGTAAACTCGTCTCCAATCGGAACCCGCAATTTATAGATGAGTTCTTGCGCTCCTTGTTAAAACAGTCGTAATGCACTTAAGGATGGATACATCTGACCAGTATGAAACAGATGGTTGGACCGAACGCACCCATCGTGTCATCGTCTAGACCATTTAAAGATACGCTCGTTCCTTTAAGAATTGGAGCAATTTTCTGCGGATAGTGGAGTTTGCCATCAACAATTCAGTCCATGCGTCGAAGACGCACACGCAGGTCTTGTTGAACGGATTACTTTGTCAGGATCTTATCACCTTTTTAGAATGTAACTCTCGTTTCTTTAGGGGGAGGGACTCATTTAAGCGACCGCCAAACTGGCTCTTACTCGTCACTTGCTGGAAATGCGGTCACAACGTCCGAAGCCGATGTTGATCGCATCATCTTTCGTTAAAAAAGATGAGAGTAAGAGCACAGATGCTCTTACTGGTGACGATACTGATCAAAGTAGCATCGTGCCTCGTGCGTTTACAGACACACTCGCAAAGGTGACAAGCAATCTTGATGCAATACGCTCCAACAGAGCTGCGGCTTATAACAGCGATTCAGCAGATGAATTCATACTAGCTCGCAACACGGTTGTACGTTTTGTACAAAACTCTATCTTAGAGGCGGTTGGTCAGCAAAACGAAACGCTGATATTAGTGCAAGGGTAAACGTGCCTTTTTTAATGAAGGAGACTTAGTTCTACTCTTTACGGTAAATCAACCTCGGCGCGTGGTGACTAACATGGTAATCAACATGTCATCACCCAATTTCTTCAATCCATTTCGTGTGCTGCGCCGTCTAGGAAACGCATATACGATTGAACTGCCACGTATGATACGCATGCATCCTACGATCTACGTCGGTCGCTTTAGTTTGTAATATCAGTACAGGGATTCTTCAGGTAACGAAATTTATCGCACTCAAGCATCTCTTACAGAAACTTGTGCTTATGATGCTGTCTTTCAGCCCACATTTGAAGTATATATATATATTTCCAAAGCTGAGAGATGTCCTAACGAGCTTTCATCAGCTCTTCGCGGGGAGAACGCTGTCCTCGCTTATTCGCCATCTGTAGAAAGACAACTCTGACCTATCCCTCTCCTTTTATGAGCTCAAACTATTTGAGCTGTCAAGAAAATACAGAAGCCTGTCCCGTATCGTGTTCGAGGTCCTCGAGAAACTCACACGTTGCGCGGTAGAACTGTCTTACAGCATCATAATGTCCCTAGTTAATTCATCGAAGGATGTTCTTTCTCCTCCACCTCATCCGCAAGTTAATAATTGTGGTGGTCAATGCTTCCTCGCGGAACGACTGTTGAATCGCCGCTATGTGAAAGGACGTCGGAATAGTTCCCTCGTCCGGTGGATTGTCGTTCCGACCTCGGCGGAGAGTCAGAAGCCTCACTCGAAACTGATGGTGGAAGTGCTGGGCCTTGTTGAGCAGTATGACAAGGTATCATTCATTACGAAGAATGTTCATTGGACAACGAACGCCTTGCGCGATCGTAAAGGGGTTGCAGATTAGATAATATCTCGTGCAATTCCAACGAGATAGGAGTCTTCCAGCATGGATCAATTATCAAATAAGATGCTTTTGGATCTCGTGCCAAGTTGTACACAAAATAATGGCACGCATAACCCCAGGTGAGGCATGGTTACCCGGTCTCTCTCGAAAAGCAATGCAGCTGTAAAGCGCACCGCTAGAAGTCCGCATTTCGAAAATATTACGGGATAGAGTCATCTTGTCAAGCCGAAATGGCGCTTAATATCCTGAACGTTGTGGATCAAGGCGTGCCAAGGTTAAACTATTGTGGGACCTTCACGTTTACGGTTTCTACTGTACATCGATGTTTTGAAGAACACATCGATGTAAAACTCATGCTTAGAGCGAAGGTCACCCGCACTAGAGTTAAAGACATGAATTTTTGGTGCATTGAAAAGCCTTATTCGATAACGATTACTTACCATGTAAGAAAGGCGGTCCAAGACTCTCTAGGAGGCCACCAAGCCTTCTTCTATGAAGCAGCGCGCAGTACGTCGCAATATGCGGCTTTCTGCATGGTATTAATAAAAGTACCGACACCACGTCCAACACGGACGTCTAAATTGTGGCGCATTACTGCGTCACTTTCATCGTATTTTTACTGAATCCTTCCACCTCCTTGGTTGCTCCTCTCAAGCCAACGACTCTGCCTTGGAGACGGAGCGTCTGACTCATCGACCGATACGAAAAGTCACGATACTCAGCTAGGCTCCTGGCGCTTCGCAAGACCAACTTTTTCGGCTATGTCGTCGCCGCTTTAGTCTCTGTCTTTTTGGCAGCCTTCGTCGACTCGGTGTCGCCGTCCGACCTGCCAGAGTTTATCAGCTCAAGGTTGTAATATCCTAGGCTAAACGGTGCATCACCGCGTGATCCTGCATTAGAATAAGCAGCAGGAGAGTTGCCGCCTGCTGCGTCCGCGGTCTTCGCCTCATCCACCGCAGCGGATCGTAGTCTCATCACTGCACTTCCATCAGCTTTGTCTGCACACCTCATGGACTTGTTAACCATGCGGAAGAAGTAAAGAATAGTTGGAATTGACCAACAAGTGCTTACCTTTCCCAGAGTCACTCATTGTAGTCACTCGATCATTTATCAGTTACATTAGTGACTGATGGTTAAGGGTGGTGGTGATGAAACGGGGTGCTTCCGCTACATGATAGTTTACATACGTTAAAAACAAAGTACGAAAATGATGTTAGGACAAACAGATGGTTCTAACAATATTGTCTAAAAAAGAAGTATAGTGCTGCAGAAGTAGTACACTGTTCATTGCGATGCACAGATTTACAATTTTAACCAATAAAGCCGAGCCACGACAGAAGAACGCAGTGAATGGTGAGCAGATACTTGCAATACACGTTTGTAAGAGATATAGCTACACGAAGATAAAATAGGATACATAGACAGAAGACCACTATACTAAATAAAGTTCTACTTTTAACCTTTCCTCGTGTGGAATCCTTTCTTTGCACGACGCGTGTACGTGAAGTCTTGAAGCACCGTCTTACTCTGTGTTCAGTGTAAGTTGCTTGTACCGTGATAGTACAAGCAATGTTTCCAAAGTACAGAAAGTTCCTAAATCATATCACATTGCAATCCAGAGACTTTCTCTCAAGTTACGGGTTCAGCCGCTCACATGACGTTTGATACTTGTAGTCGGCACCGACACTGAGAATCGCGCATGTGGCGGCCACCAAACCTTAAAGTCGCTGTGACCTAGCGGAATCACGCATTTACACGAGCTTATGTATTATTTAGAAAGGGGGAACACTGTTGATCTTTGATCGGGAGACCAACGTTTTGTTACATTACGATCTTTTATTACAAGACATTACCAATTTTGCCTAGCTTTGCAAATCTTGCCAAAAATGAGGTGCAATAGAGAGAGATAACATACGTGTCATAAATATCACATTTGATTTTTCCATGTACAAGAATTATACGTCCATGTTTTTCCAATCTTGACAAACTGGGACCAGAACTTATTAAGGGCTTTGATCATTTTTCATGGACAAGTATAGACTCGTAAAGCATTCAGCAAGAAAAACTTGGCAGAATTCGATGTAGTAACGTGGTTGTCGGAAAGTGCTGGTAGTTGGTGCGAAACCAAAGTAGCGAGCATAGTTGTACGACTGTTGGAAGGTACACTTTCAGCAACACTTTCTTGATAAACCCGCACCATTAAGGTGATCGGCCATAAGGAGGTTAAATTGGGGTCATGGGCCCGTTTGCAAAACTTTGTACACGCGACATTCACGGGACATTCACGTGTGCGTATCTGCATGTGTGGACATAATTAATGTCTCATCTGACGCAACTTCTTAGCTCTTTGCAACTGTTCTTCATATCATGACTCAGGCGAAACTCTACGGACCACACTCTTGCCACAACAATGTCGAAGTGGGTCTTGGACTGTTTGAACAAGTAGGTGACGCTTTAATGGCCGCTTCAAATATTTTCGGCTCATTCCAGGGTGCATTGTCCGTTACACAATAAGATATTTACAGTCAGTTTATATCATATACGAAAGACGACGACTTGAGCCTCAATGATGTTTCAGGCGAAGTTAGATGGAGTCTAATAGATTGTACACGCCACTGACTTCTTGCTCGCATTATCATCATTTCGGTCCCAAAGTTTTGTGTAGTAGAATACGTGCTCTTGGTTGCAGCGATATACAGTCTCTTCTCCGATCAGCATGGGTACGGCAGAAGACAATCACCATAACTTAGTAGAGATTCTAGCTTACTTTTCTTCGTCTATCGTACATAAGGATAATCAATCAATTGAGTGATCAAAAAGCGGACACGGGCGCTTAAACTAACCCCCCCCACACTTCCCTTAAGTACAAGCCAAAATCCGTCCCTAAAGATTTTACTGCTGAAACAGAACAAAAGTCGCAGGATCCTGGCTAGTTTGGTACCTTCCCAACGGCGTAAGGCGCACCCATAGCTACTTGTGTCTGAGCTAACAATTATTAGTGTTAGCTCAGACGAAAGGTGTCACGGGGTGAACCGTTACGTAACAATTTTTAAGAAATTGTTAGTAGAATATAACTATATGAGTGACATTCTCAGAATATTGTCAAAAGGACAAACATCCTGCAGCACTTACGAGTAGTTCCTAATTGGTTGATATAGGCCATTATATCAACCAAAGAAGAAGCGCCACGACAGACGCACCGCAACGAGTGGTGAGCAGATAGTTGATATACACATTTGTATTCAGACACAGTTAGATGAGGATAAATCGTGATTTATTAACAGACATTAACTATGATAAATACAGTTCTACTTTTTACTTTAACCAAGTACTCGCTTCTTCTTACCGTCTTCCTCTGCACGTACCAGTGTACGTGAAGTTCCGAGGCACCGCCTTATTCTGTCGTCAGAATAAGTAGCTTTTACCGTCACCAGTACAAGCTTCAGGGTGACCCGTTACACCTGGTAGCACTTCGTAGTCCTTCCAAGGACCACGTTCACATCTAACATGAATATGTTAGACGATGATGATGACGAAAGCTTTCACGCTACGCGTGACGGCTACTCTTATTTGAGCGATGTCGGATGGGATGCGGTTGAACGGATGGATTCAACCATAGGCATCCATGCTGTTAGCGTCATGCTAGAGGCTCTCAATAGAGATGCCCAACATGCTACTATCGCCAAGTTCATACAAAATGAACTTGACGCTGAACGCGAGAAAGTAGCCTTGCTTCACCAACAAGGTTCTCAACAAGCAGAGTTGTTGAGAGAACAGGGTGCTTAACAGTTTGAACTGTTGAGACAGCAGCAGGCTGCTGCTGGCGGGTCGATGCACTCGCGTCGACCCGAGACTTTGAAGATTGACATCTCAAAGTATAGGGGGGTCGAAGAAGACTCCCTCTTGAGATGGTTCGTCGAATTGGATGACGCCATAAGGGCGCGTCGCATCGACGATGGGGATATGCAAGTTGCATTTGCCCAGTCAAATCTGGCAGGACGTGCCAAGACTTGGGCACTGGGGCTCAAGTTGCACGACCCATATGCGTTTGGGTCGTTGGAAGTCTTCAAGTCGCGGCTCAGACAAACGTTTGAACCGCCTAGAGCTGAGTTCAGGGCTCGAACCGAACTCTTGAAGCTCAAACAGGGTAAGCGTGATGTGCACGCTTACGCCCAACATATACGACATCTCACGAGTTGTATAAGTTCCAATCCGGTGGATGAACACACGTTGGTTTCGGTGTTCATGCAGGGTCTTGCGGATGGTCCCGTCAAGACTCACCTGTTCCGACTTGAATTAGATTCACTAGAACAAGCCATTTCCATTGCGGAACAGGAAGACTTTAGTCTGAGACAGGCTCGCGCCAGCTCGACATCGTATCGTCAACCGAGACGATATGACAACGGGGGTCCAGAGCCGATGGAAATCTGCTATGTAGAGAGCGAGAAGGCTCGCTCTACAGACTACAAGAAGTTGCAGAAATGCAACAGATGTCAAAAGACAGGACACTACGCTTACGAGTGTAGTGCCCCTCGTCCAGTGTCTCGCAACACTGGGCGTAGTGACCGTCCACCCATGAGAAAGGGGCAGGGACGAGGGTCCGCTGTTGGTGCAAAGACGCAACAACGGTATGGACCGTAAAAAACGGACAGGACCAGTAGGTGCGGAGCACCCTACTGGTCCAGCAACGTCAAGAGAATTTGTAGGCCTCTTGGTGAAGGTTGCTCACAACACACAAACGTTGTGCGTTGCTGCTCTAGGTAATGAGATCTCACTCATTACCTTGAAACTCGAAGTGACGAATAAGTTGTCCCTTCGAGCTCTAGTCGATTGTGGGGCGTCCAACAATTTTGTGCGACGCCAATCGCTAGAAGATGGTCACTTTAAATTCAGTGAATGTGACACACCTCCTACGAGGATGACGGTACGTCTTGCGATAGGCGCATCCGTAACCGTCATGAAGCGTATAGTGAAGATCCACTATACGCTAGAAGATACCCATTATGACGATGACTTTATCGTACTGGATTTGGATGACAAATTTGATGTCATCCTTGGAATACCGTGGCTCAGAAGGTAGGAACCACGGGTTAACTGGCAATATCGAACAGTAACGATGCCTGACGCTTGTTCATCAGATGGCCATTTGATGAGCGTTTTGGAGCGTCCACAAGCGTGTGGATGTACTACGAGTGAGTGATATGGCCTCACTTGTGGTACAGTCGTTAGGAAGACTACACTAAACCTTAGTGTAACAAACAGTTACACTTCGGAGCAAAGTTCCGGCGGCTGTGAGAAAACACAGGCTGCGCCGAAGGTCCACCACTCGAATAAGTCGAGTGGACCGGGACAAAGATGTATCCCTAGCGGGGAACATCTAGAAGAGAAACAATCGATCGCTCAGGTTAAGCGAAACGATAATCCTAGATCGACTGGAGAGTCTTTCGTAGAGGATCTCGCTGTGGTTGCGCAACCCCAGCTAGAGGAAGTAAAGGGAATAAGTCCCAAGATTACAAATACGGCGGAAATAGGTTCCCCGAAACCTGAGGGAATAGGTCCCCGGGAAGCCGAAGGAATAAGTCCTTCGAGGCCTGAGGGAATAAGTCCCCAGGAAATGACAGAGACATTGAATGTCCTAGTCAATGAAGGATCAAGTGTATGCGCTTATACACTTGATCTGATTGCGCCTCCGAGTTGACTTCGGAGATCACTCAGTTGCCAACGCTCGAACATAAAAGGTTCTTGTGTGATCTGCGTAGTGGCAAAGTCAAGCAGATCTGCATACTCGTCGCTGAAGACGAGTATGTAACCGACATAAGATTAGCAACAGTGTTTACTGAGAACGAGAGAGTTCTCAGTAATTCATCTATGGACGAGAGTGTCCTAGATGAAAAGACACGAATTGAGCGATATGACTCCCAATCGTGGGAATCGCTCAAGACAAATCCTCTCTATGAAGATTTGGTTGAATTCAAGGATGTATTCCCTGAAACTGTTCCGTACGAATTACCGAAGGATAAAGGTATTCGACACGAGGTCGGGCTTAAACCAGGCTCGAAGTACTGTGTCATGAAGCAGTGGCCGCTGCCT